CAGAAGTTTGGACCTGATCCAATAGTACATTTAGAATGTAAATGATGGCGAAAACCAGGGAAATGCTTGATAATTATCAATCAATACATTCCAAGAGCTCAAAAAAGAAAGAAAATAGGAAAGAAAGAAAGCGAAAAAAGAAAGAAGGAAAAGAAAAGGAAGGAAGGAGGGGGGAAGGGAAGGAGAAAGGAACGGGCAATTCCTTGAGTAAACTGGGCGTTCTGTGCCATATTATTTGTTACTGACATAAAATGTCTGTGAGAACAGAATTCTTTTTCAAACTGATTAAGGTCTGTGAAGATGGATTCTTTGACAACAGACGCCGGAGAGAGGATGTCACAAAACACTCCTGCCTGTTTGTTAAGAATCAGAGGCAACTCTACTCCCTCCCTATTTCCATGCAAATCCTGAGTCCTTCCGTTGAGACCCCACAGTGTTTTGCTGGGTCTGTGCGCCAGAGGATGGGTAGGCTGTGTCAGGGCACACCCGGAATGAGGAAACTCACACCGCAGCTCCAGGCTCATTGCTTTGCTTCCGGGAGATCTCACCAAACTGCGCGCCCTTTCACCTACTTTCCTGAGGAACTCGGAACAGTTTAGATAGGGATCCTAGCGCACGAGCCACGGATTTCGGGACTTCCGTTCACCATACTCTGGAGGCATTCAAATCAAAGATCTGCATTTCACCCCAGGCAATCAAGGAAGGCAAGACCTAGAAAGTAAGAGATTGGGCTCAGCAGAACCTCGGTCTCCAACCCTGTCGGTCTTTCTCTTTCCGCAGCAGCACGGCCATGCAGGTGAAAGGAAGCAGCACCGGATTTGCAGCCATGGCTGTTTTATCCATCCCTAGGGGCTGTCGCTTACTATCGACCTATCCACGGCCAGGTCACTTCATCTCTCACAGCCTCCGTGTCCAGATCTTTCAGACGAGGCTAATAATTCCGGTCAGCTTCACAGAACTGTTGTTAAGTACAGATCACCTAAGCTCAGAAACTGGGAGAGCATCGGATGCGCTTGTATTTCAGTTGTGTTATTATGAAATAAACAAGGGTTCATTTCCAAAAGTACAGGCGTCTCTGCAGGTTTCATCTTGCCATAGAAACAGCTTTTTTTTTTTTCCTTCCTACTTTCTGGTGCCTAGACTTCTGGAAAGTTTTTGCCTCAAGTTGTAGAAAGTGCCAATCTGTGTGGGAGGAGATTGTTTTCTTTGTGGGTCATGGGAATTTTGAGAATGCACTTTTAGAGAATTTGTTGAAGGAAGGACGGTTCCTTTCTGAGGTAGAAGAACGCAGACTTTTGTGGGCTAAAGGACAATCTAGAAGCCTGGGAACTCTTTATTTTTCTGTCCTAAACCACCTCTCTTAATGAAATTGCCTGAAAAAGAAACATTTTTTTTTACAACAGCTCGTCCTAGATGTCTAAACTTTTAAAGTACTGAATAATCAATCTATTTGAATCATCAGTTTATCTGATACCTACCACACATTTTTATTGATCTGTTCTTTCATCAACATTCTGTATTTAGGAATTGAATGATCCTGGCATCTCAAAATAAAAATAAAAATGTCTGTTTTCATTCAGGTCTTCTTTGGACACAACTGTTGTGGTCCCTTCCCTTCAACAATGCTTATCACAATGCTTATACATATTATATACAGTTTGGCCGGGTGTGGTGGTGCGCTCCTGTAATCCCAGCACTTGGGAAGCTGAGGCAGGAAGATCACAGTCAGTTCAAAGGCAGACTGAACTACATAGTGAGACCTTAGGTCAAAAAACAACAACAACCTGTCAATTAGACAGTTTTGATCTTCAGTTTTATCAAGTTGGCCAGTATGTATCTATAATCCTGTGTAAACATTTACGTTCAGGCCCTAATGCTGCTACTCAGTTCCATCCATCTTCTTAGTGAAGAGAAAAAGAACATTGTGAGGTTGACCTGAGCACCGCAAACCTTAGAGGCCAAGAAAAACGAGTAGTTGTAAGGAGTGACCAGTGATTCGGAGAAAGACTGGAATGGTCAGGTGTGCAGGATAAGTTCAAAGTGTGCTGAGAGGGAGGAAAAACAGCCTTGCTTCTAGAGAGGTCTAGGAAACTGAAGATTCAGGACCAAACATGAGATTTGGGAACGAGGAAGTCACTGCCGCCCTTGATAAAAGGGATTTCAGTGAAGCACAGTGGGGGGGGGTATGTGTCCTTAAATGGTCCACTAAAGACAGAAGAAGAGGTAGGGGTCGTGACACTGATATTTTAATGAATTTCACGACAGAGGAGAACAGATTTGGCACATGCAGTAAGACGTACATGGTCAAGGGAGCTATATTAGGGATGGCATGGTGAAAGACAAAACAAGATAACAGCCTAGTACAAAAGGAAAATTGAGCATTGGAAAAGAGGGGGTAACAGCAGGAACGCACTCCTTGTGTTGAAAGAGGCCGTATTCTCTGCATAAATCATGGCATGGGCCCAAAGCTGGAGCAGGGCTTATTCCTCTCTGTAGCAGCAGAGAGAGGGCAGACTGTGGGGTGTAAGGCAGGCCATCTACTCACCGGCTGATGGAAAATGGAGTAGCTTCTGTCTGATTGTTATTGTGCTCTCAGTGAAGCAAGAGTCAAGGTGATAATATGAGCAGAGAGGGGCTGAAGAGGAGAGAGAATTGTGACGAGCCCTCTTGGAACTGATGAAATGTAGTTGAATTGCCAGGCCATGCGAAGCATCCATCCACGTAGGGTGCAGTTTGCGAATGTGAAACCAAGCAGTGCGTACACTGTTGGGTTTTCCTTCAGCTGTATTTAGCTGGTTATATGTGAGCGTGGAACCGCTCGAGACCCGCGTTTAACCACAGCCGAAGCTTTGCTAGGTGGGAGAGAAGGAACGGCAAAGGGCGAACAGGAACTGTTTGCAGTGCTGCATCTTGGATAATCGGAGCTGAGTAAGGAGTAAAGGGGTCAAGGGGAAGGAAGGATCAGGGGTGGAATAGTAGAGGAGTCAGGATTGTGACTGCGGAGATGAAGGCTGAAGTTGTGTGGATAACAAGAATGCTGACGTGAGAACTGCAGGGAGAGGCCGGACTGTCTTGTGTGGAGCCGGATGTCTCTTAACCATGTTGGGAGGACTGGAGGTGGAGAGGAAGCCTTGGTCCATGGGTATAAATCTTTACGGATGACAGGAAGTGGAGCAAGATGTGAGCAGACTGCAAGGACAGAGGTGACCTGGGTGGCCCAGAAAGACGGCTTGTGCTTTAAGATAACAGGAGCCTTTGAGAGGGTGGAGAACAAAAGTACTCTGAAGTATTGAAGGAGATCAGTGCAGAGACTTGCTTTCTTAGCACTGAAATGCGGTGGGTACTGACGGCTGTGTGGTGGTGGGGAGGCCAAGGGCACAAAAGAGTGAAAGACTGAGGGCTGGGGATTTAGCTCAGTGGTTCCATCCAGCGCCTGCTTCGCAAGCACAAGGAGCCGAGTTTGATCCCTGATAACAAAAAAAAAAAAAAAAAAAAAAAAAAAAGAGGGAAAGCGACGAAAAA